TGATTTCCGATACAGTTACAGCAGGCATCATCCACACACACACACACACACACACACACACACACACACACACACACACACACACACACACACACACACACACACACACATGCATGCATGCGCAGTGATATCGAGGAGCTTGCACAGGCTTGGCAAAAGGAGAAGCAGGCGACCCCATCGTCGTCAGCATCGCAGCAAGACGACAAATGTGCTCGTGGGGATGGTGACCGCGCTGATGATGGCGGTGGGGGTGAGATGAGCGACACGGCACCCGCAGCAGACAACACCACCGCCACGAACGCCACCAACGGCAACGACACCACCAACGCCGACGACAACAACAGCAGCAACAACAACAACAACAACAGCAGCAGCAGCAGCAGTACCTCCGCCACCAACGCCGGTGAGGCCGTCTCCAAGGCGAAGGGCGGTCGCAACATGCGAGTCACTGTCGACCCAAACACTGGCAAGGCGATTGCTGTGGAAGCGCACCCCATCCGTGATGATAATGGCGATGGTGCCGACAGTCATGGCGGTGATGATGATGGTGACAGTGATCGCCATGGTGATGGCAGCATGAAGTTGTCGCCTGACCTTGGCGGCGACGATGGCAACGACAGTGGTGGTGGGGCTGACAGTGGTGATGATGAACCAGGGCAGGCACGGAAGCGAGCCAAGATCTCTGCAACACCAGCAGCCACCGGTGATGATGGTGGTGAGGATGAGGAGGATGAGGAGGATGGTGACGCGTTGGCAAGCTCAGGCACAGGCACAGTCACTGTTGGCCACGGCGTGGACGTGAGCCAGGATGTTGATGCTGACTCTGACAGTGGCGACGGCGATGAGGATGGTGCTGCTGGGGAAAGGCGGCGCAGGGCAGCGCATGCCAAAGAAGCACCAAAGGAGATGCAAGAAGGCGATGATGTCACGGAAGAACATGAAGAGGAGGAGGAGGAGGAGGATGGATTGGCACCTCGACCCTCTACCAACTCCTCTGGTATCCCTCGCTCGCAGCGCATCAATACCCGCCATCACAATACTGCTTCGACCAACGCAACCACAGCCAATACCAGCGTGGATGATGGTGGCTTCACTGCATCCACGCACCGTGACGAGGACGTGTGGGTGTCGAGTGATGGCGACAATGGCAACAGCAACCGTGAGGATGTTCGTGGTGCGGTGCATGCTGAGCAGCAGGACGAGCCCGGATCACCGTCGTTTGATGGCGTGGTGCGGGACACCCAGCGTCTCCGTTGCCGCCGCGTTCGCACCACCTCCACCCCCACCTCACCGGCCACACACAAGGGAAACAGCATCAACAGCAGCGGTGGCGGTGGTGATGTTGAGGAGACCGGTGACAGCGCTTCCGTTCCCGTCATTGTTGACGAAGGCGATACTAACGGTGATGGAAGCAGCAGCGACAGCGGCAGCGGCAGCAGCAGCAGCAACGCCCGTGGTGGTCGTGCTGCCTCTGTTCACCACCCTTCCCGCGTGCGACGCATCACTGCAACGTCACGCCCAGCGGACACTGCATTGACATGCAGCAACAGGCAGGGCCAAGGGGCGCACAGCAGCGCTTGCACCTGCGACAGCGACGACAACGCTCACGGCAGTGTGACTGGTGGTGATGGAGATGAAGGTGGTGACAGCAGCAGCGAGGATGAGGGCGCATCGACCACGGAGATTGGGGTTGATGTGGAGACAACTGGCACACGCAAGCGCCAAACACGCAAGCGCCAAACACGCAATACCCACAGCACGCGCAGTGCACGCAGCACACGGTACCGGCACCGGGAACTGCAGGAAGAGGAAGAAGAACAGGAAGAGGCGGGGCGGAAACAGCGCACGCACGCACGACGCCGCCGAAGCAGGTGCTCGGGTGATGATGATGGTGATGATGACAACGATGGTGATGACAATGACAGCAATGTTGGTGCTGAGGAGGGCGGCACTGGTGTGGCGACCTCGAGGAAAAGGGCGCTGGTGAGCCGCGCGCTGAAGAAGAAGCGAAAGGCCGCAGCTCAGAACGCCGGTGATGATGAAGGTGATGATGATACCAACGGCGGTGGCGGTGGCGGTGGCAATGATGATGACGATGATGATGATCCACTTGTGGTCGTTGAGGATGATGGGGAGAAGTCAGCCGGGAAAGGCACCCGCGCCTCGGTGATGACAGTGGACGAGGAGCTTGGAGAGTTGACAGCTGGGATGGCGCCGCAGCCATCACCCCTCGCACCCGGTCAACCATCGTCGTCGTCGTCGTCGTCGTCGTCGTCACTGGCGCAACATCAGTTCCGCTCGCAGGGGATGCTGAAAGTGCAGCCGCAGCAGCAGAAGACAGGGCGCCGCAGGAAGATCACGGCGCGCAAGTCTGGTCCAAACTCAACGTCGCCGCGCAGCATTCGCGGTCGTGGCGGCCATATCGGGTGATGCTGATAACGTGGATGTACGTGTGTGTGCATGTGTGCATGTGTGTATGTGTGCTTTGCTTTCGTGAGTGAGTTCTTCTGTTTGTGTGTGCGTGTGCGTGTGCGTGTGTGTGTGTGTGTTGTGTGTGCTGGGAGGCCGTGTGTGTGTTTATGCCACTCTGCGCACGTGTTGCTGTTTTCCTTCATGTGAATTGTCACTTTCACAGGGTATGTATGTATTGGTCCTGCGTTACTCGATGACGTTGTGATGTGACATTGTTATCCCCGGTCCTATTTGGACATGTTAACAAAACAACCACCACGACCCTGTGTTTGTTCACATTGCATTACATAATTGACTGCTTGTTGATGATGAGGGTCGTGGACAAATGAAATACGAGCCAACCACACACACACACACACACACACACACACACACACACACACACACACACACACACACACACACACACACACACACACACACACACACACACACACACACACACACACACACACACACACATTAAGGAACCCGAGTATGGTGCAAGTAGCGCAGGTGAACGAGCGTGAGCCTGAGGCTGATGATGAAGCCCACACCGACAAAGACAACGGTTGTCCAGTGGCACCAAGGAGCCCCCTCACCCGCATCAGCCACTGGCAAGTACTCTTTTGTGTGCATGTGTGTGTTGTGTGAATGTGTGTGTGTCGTATGAGCGCAGCCAGGAAAAGGCGCAGCAGAAGCAGCACCATGCCTCACTCTGCTTACACGTCTCCAAACGCACGCCACTCCTCTCAGGATTGAAAAGTCCATCTCGCACTTCTACTACACGCTAGCACATCACATCGCCGACCACCCGTGGGTCTTTGTCATCGTTCCGGCAATCATTCTTGTGAGTGTGTGTGTGTGCGTGTCAACCGGCAGCCATACGCACCCAAATGCGATGGAATGCAAGGATGTAACCTGCTTGTTCCCTTGTGTGCCTTGCTCACTTGCTTACTTGCTTACTTGTTTGTCTCGCTTAGCCTACGCCGCAGTATTCGCTCTCCCACCTTCACAACAAACAGCCTGACACAATTGCAGCAATATACACACAACACACTCGCGTCACACCGCCGCCTCACCTCATGCATTCGCCTTTGCTGCGATGTCGTGTTAGCTTGGCTTTGGCGTTCGCATCTTCGCTGATCCCGTGTCACCAGAACAAGATCCCGAGGACCTCTGTACGTTCAGACATGAAACCCATTCCCCTGGCCATTTGTTTGTGGTGTGCATTGGTTGAGGGCATGTAGTGTTACAGAATGCATTCACGCACTCACGCACACACACATATTCACACACGCGCCTGCACACACACACACACATGCACGCACACACACACACACACATACACACACACACAGACACGCCACAGGACAGCGTTGCGTTTGCTCAGCGCATTGTTGTGGAGGAGTCATTTGGGTTTGCGCCCGTCACCAACTTCTTCTACCTGCAGGCAAAGGACATATTGTCTGTGGACAAGAGCAACAGCGAGAATCAGGCTGCGCTGGTGTCGATGCTGACGCTGTTCAACGCCATGGCCGCTTTCACGTACGAGGCAGACACAGGCGAGACGGTGACGTACTTCAGCAGGTGCAACACGACCGCCAGCGGGTGTCTGCAGTACAGCGTGCTCAACTTCTTCGACTACAACGAGACGCGCATCACCACGGACAGCGATGTTATGGCCACCATCAACACCGGTCTCCAGCAGGCCGTGGCCCTCAACCAGTATTTCCTCTTCAAAGATCAGATCTTCGGCAGTCCCGAGCCAGCAAACGCCTCAGACCCCACGGTCAGTGTGTGCGTGTATCTGTGTGTGTATCTATGCGTGTGTGTGTCTGTGTGTGCAACATTGTGACGTTCACTCAAGACCACTTCATTCGCACCACGACTTGTGTCATCACTCACTCACTCACTCGCCACCACTACCACCACCACCACCACCACCACCACCATGGTGCCTGTTTGCAGATTGCAAAGGCGCAGGTGCTCGCGCACCGCTTCAGCTTCATCAACAAAGAGACGCGTGAGAATGGGGACTTGCAGTTTGACACAGCGCGAGAGAAGTGGGAAATCAAGGCATCCAAGGAGGTGTGCGCCGGCTGTTGTGCATGTGCAGAGTTGTGCTGCATGGATATGTTCATTGTGTGTGTGTGAAGTTGAGTTGTGTGTGTGTGTGTGTGTGTACGCGCGCGCCTGGTTGTGTGTGTGTGTGTGTCTGTGTGTGTCTGTGTGCGTCTGTGTATGTGCGTGTGGTGGGTTTGCGCTGTGCTGGTCACCCAAGCTCACACGGTACGCCTTCATGCGACAAACCCACGCGCAACCACCCGTGATTTGTGTTTCAGATTCGCACCACGCCCGTTGATGTTGGTCAGGCGTACGTGCTGTTCAGCGGTGACGTGAACAATGAAGCCAACAGCGCCGTGGACGTTGACGTCGCGCTCCTGCCGGTGAAGTTGTTGTTGTTGTTTAGGTTGTTGTTGTTGTTTAAGTTGTTGTTGTTGTTGTTGTTGTTTGAGTTGTTGTTGTTGTTGTTGTTGTTGTTTGAGTTGTTGTTGTTGTTGTTGTTGTTGTTGTTGTTGTTGTTGTTGTTGTTGTTGTTGTTGTTGTTGTTGTTGTTGTTGTTGTTGTTGTTGTTGTTGTTGTTGTTGTTGTTGTTGTTGTCCTTGTT